GAGACCCATGGACGCTGTGAGGCCGTCTTAGCTTTTGTGCCCCTGTCACAGTCTTTCTTAGCTCCATCACATGACCCTCTCCACACTAAGCCAGCGAAGCTCTGGCCCCACTCCAGTAATTCCCTTCCAATCAGATTGTTAATCTTAAGTCCTTTGAGACTCCGTAGAGCTCTATGGAAGTTGTTGGAAGTTAGTCTGTATGTATCTAGAGTTTAAAAGCAAGCAGTATACTCGAGATTTGACGCAATAGATAATAAGGAGCTGTTGCGGGGTCCTTAATAAACATTTACTTCATGTAGTGATAAATCAGAAAGATTGATCTCTGTGGAACTTAATTCACTACAAACATGAGTTAAGCTTTTCTAAGAAATGTCTAAATAATCAACCAATAACAATGAAGTGCTAATATTGAAAGAACCACAGATTTTTTTAAAAAAATTCCATTTTGGCATAATTAAGGGATAAATCAGTTCAAATGAAAGATGTTACTGTATTAAGACTTCATTCACTTATTGAATTATGTTTCATATGAACTGAGTGCATTTTTAAGATTATTCAATTATCATATAAGTCAATGTCATTTCTACTTTTTGGAAGAATTGATATTAATCTCTTGTCATTGAAACTGTAATTGTTTGTCAAATTAATTTCTCAAAGGTCACCAACAGCCACCAGATGGGAACCCAAGATGATGTCACATCTGAAATTTAAATTATGGAAAGCCTGGAGACCATGCAAGACCACCCATTCACCCCACAGGTTCCTCTGAAGTCGTACAACATAAAAGCTTCCTAGTACCTTTGTAAATGTCATTTGAGTATAATAAAATATGCTCCATCTACAATGCTTGAGGTAATTAAAGACTTTTTCCTTAACAGGGCTTGATGTAGAAATAGCCCAATATGGGATGATCATTAATAGGCCTGCGAAAGTACTTGAATAAATGCCTACCAGGAACGCACACACATTAGTAAACTTTCTAAAGAAAATCCATTTTCATTTCAAATTCTGACATTTTATTTAGAAAAATTATGCCCTTTCTTACAATTATTTCAGTAAATATAATGAGAGTATTGCTAACTACACCTTAGAGTACTTTATTTCCACCATTTTTTAGTAACATGAGTCGCCCTGTAATTAAAGGCAACGCTGCATAATGATGCCAGAACTCTCCAAGGGAGACGTTTAACGTCCACCTCGTAATATTACACCGAAATTACATGCGCAGAAGACTTCTAGCAGTCTTGGCTTCCTGGGTTAGCTTTGGTTGGCTCTGAAAGCCACAGCGGCACCCAGGGCTCGCGTTTCCACAGTCATCAGCACTTCGGCGCCCACCGTTGTGTGCACGCGCACAGTGTCGCCCGCCCACAGTCTCCCTTGCAAAGCCTCTATTTAACTTATCCAGAAAATGAGCTCCAGGCTGGAGATAATTGCTGATAATTTGGCCATTTTTAAGCCACTAGGGTGTTGCATGGAAGGATGACAGCGAAGTTTGCCTACACACAGTAAACAAGTCATCGCTTTGTGTTGTCATTTCGGCTCTACATGCAGGTTCAGACTGGCCTCTTTGCTCTTTATGCAAATGCAAACAAATTGTTGTCACTAGATCTTTATCTTTCTCCGACAGAGCTGTGCTGTCTGGAGCTCCCTGTGTGGCTGAAAGGACTGAATCGCACACACGCATCACCCCAGCCTGAACCAGAAAAGTGGTTCGTCCTCCTCTGGCCGAACACTCCTCCCCCTTGATGAAAACAAGGACTTCCTTTCTTAAATCACTCTCAGTGTAAAAGGAGTACAATACGTTTAAAAGAAAGTGTACAGTTTACAAAATGGGGCTCATGCGCACGTACTTTTCTCCTTTGCACTGCCCTCGTTAGAAATGGCAGAATCCTCCCAGGAAGGTATTTGTTATAAATACTTGTATGATTAAAATACAACTATTTGAAGTTGCATGACATTGAAGATTTATCAAATACGCCCATCAGGTTAATAAGCAGAGATCTACTACTGAAAGGAATCATATGCTCATTTTCTCTAAGTTTTCACTTTAGATTAAAATGAATGCGAAACTCACGAACAGTCGCGGCAAATACCGGTGCAGCAAACGCAGAAAACAGCCCTGCGCTCCCACTCCAGCGCCAATGAACTTCAACTTTCTATTAAATAAATTGGCTGTGAGAATTACAGGACATTTCTGCGGCCGGATCCCTCTCAGTGCTCAGAACTAATATGGTCACAGCTAATCAGGGTGTCAATGGCTGAGCAAGGGACGCCCTTCACTCTGCGGCCCACATGCACATGGAGGGCTGAGCCGGCTGCGCGCCTGGCAGCTGCCCTGATGTAATGGGCCATAACGACCCTGGACGAGCAGGCTCGGGTGCCCGTGTCAAGGAGGAGTGAATGTCCGCATTGTGACACAAGTCACTTTGTGGGTCCCCATTAGACCTTGGGCTAAGCAGCACCTAAACAGGCCTGATGTGACAGCGACCTGCAGAAGTTCCACAGCCTTGTGTCAGGAACCGTTTGCACTAAATAATTTTATGGAAATCCAAACTGCAGAGAGAGCGAGGCTATATTAGGCCACTGTCATTGAGGTGGCATATCATATGCATGCATATAGTCCCCAATCCACATTAAGGAATATAAATTATCATATTAAGGAATTACTATATTACATTAAGGAATACAAAGTAAGGATTATCACAAACCTTATAATCCCTCTTGAAAAGCTACTCTGCTCAATGACAAGCTTAAATCCATTAAGGCTTCTGAATAACTGCATCAAATGAAGACGCAGGGCTTTTGTGGAGTTTCATGTGAACATGAAGAGTCTCTCTCTTACTGAACTTGAGGTCAGCAGAAGAAAATCATGCAAATTCTCTTTTCTCATTTGGCCTCTAACATTACTTAGCCAATGAACTCACAGGGATTAGCTGTTCAAATGCCATAGATCACGTTCCTGTGACAGGCAAGCATGGAACGTCCCCAAAACGCATCCTGTCCTGCTCACGGTGGGAGAATGAAGCTCGCCAAGATGCCCACCAAGCAGGCCGCTCGGCAGGACACAGGGCCAGTGCTGGCCAGCCCCAGGCTGAGGGTTGAGACCCTGCACCCAGCAGCCAGACCGTGGACACATCGAACACGCCCGCGCATGAGGAGTACCACCGCGAAAAGCACCATTCACACTTTACTTAGGCTGTCAATTATTAAACAAGTTCAGAAGAATATGGTTACAAGTGCCACATAAGCTAATATAGAGAGCTAGAGTGTTCTCAATAATACAAAAATCAGGCCCGGAACTCTTCCTCTGCTATAAGGGCAAAAGATTGCACAACCCATCACCCGAGGAGCAATTTCACTTCAGATTTGCAATGAGATCTTAAACTGGCCCTTTCGGAAGAAGATTTTAAAGACCTTATCCAACACCAACAAATGTCCCTGCTCTTATAGATTTATTACAAGTTTATTAATGTGTCTGAATAAACTCCTCAGGAAGCCTGTGGTTTCTAAAACACAACTTCTTTGCAAAGCGTACGCCTGGTTCCCAGAGAGATGGGCCCTCTCTTTGAAATATTTAGTCTTTCAGGGTGCTTTAGTCATAGTGACAACTAATAGCCAAGTGCTTTTTCTCACTCTCCACAAAGTCAGGTTGAGACTATAATTCAAACCGGTCCCTAAAGGCACTTCTGAAAAATGGCAAGCCCTTAGCTTTTAGGTGAAAACACTCTTTATTGCTCAAAATTGTTTCCTGCTACAAAACCTTTTCTATACTCCTCGGTCTAAGATGCTCTTATGCTAATTTAACTCACCTGGGACTGTGAGCAGATGCTACTTTGATTAATAGTTTCACTATCCCGAAAATGCCAAGCCAGGTTCAGGATAATAAAATCAAGTAAAAATACTATTAAAATCTGGGGTAACATTATATCTGCTGTGGGGAGAAAAATGGGGCCACCATCCTGTGTCAGATAAAGACAGCCTATAATAAAAGCAACAACATAAACTAAGTGAGCATAGTGTCTGAATTCTTTAGCATGTCAACTGACTCCACTCTAATCACCAGTCTCTTCCCTGATACCCTACAGGCACATGATCAGCGCGGGAACTCAAGAACGCTAGCCATTTTTTCAGAGTATCTACATTTCCCCCAGAAAAAAACCAGATACCCCAAGAACAGTGCATTTGGTAACTTCTCCTTATCTAAAAGAGAGTATCTGGGTTTTCATGTCTTAGGTCACTGTTTTCTAGGGAATATGTTTGTGCCATTCCAACATTCCTCTCTGAAAAACATACAGACAAGGGTGATTTTTGTTTTTATATTAAGAGGCTGCATGAGTTGGTTAAAAAGACTTCTGGAAAAACACGTCCAGAAACTTCAGTACCTCCCGCTTCTGCTTTTTTTTCTCATTGGCATCCTAACCATGAACCTTCAAATCACAATGGCTTCCAGTTGAAAGATGCCATGAGCTCCAACCTCATCTTCAGTTATACTTTATTTGAGACTGGACCCATCCATGAGTATAGAGAAGCCTGCAGAGATGGTTTGACCCTGAACTTTGCCTTCATATAATATACGGGACTTAATCATACTCCCAATCTCTGATCTGAAATTTAATCTTCATTTGAATTTTATAGCTACCTCAGTTCACAAGCTTAGTTCTCGCCATGATTCTGGTCGCAAACGGAACTGGGTGAGAACCAAATCAAATTCAATGGTTAGGTCCATTGCTGACCTTATGGGCAAATCAGATGCGGCTCTCGTTCAATTTGGTTTGTGACCGGAATAGCAGGCCAAGAACTAAGTTCATGCACAGAGGTATCTCTGTATGGGTGACCTGCTTCAGTGACATTCTTGATTTGCAGGGAGGCAGAAAGTTCCAGTGCATCAGCTGTAATTCTGGACAGCGTATCCCCCACTGTGAGCGAAGTCACTACCTCAGGACGCATGCGCAGCTCAACCCCATTCCTATGGAATACCCTACTCGAACGTGTTGGCTCACCATTGCACAGAACGACTCCGGAGGGTCTCCGCAGGTGATGTCTGGAGGGTCCAGCTTCACCTTCAGGTATTTGGTCATGTCCGTGGACTCTGGCTGACAGGCCATGTAATCCCACACTTTCCCTTCTTCTGTGTAAATCTGAGTTTTACACACATCGTAATGTCCCCACACCAAAGGGTAGGGCTGCATTACGGAGGACACTGTAACCCAAAGGGCATGAATGGACAGGAATCTTGACAAATACATCTCTAAATTCTTCGTTATCTTCGTGGTTTATCTGGAATGTGTCTATTTTACACACACATATATGTGTCTGTTTATGCAGGTAGGTCTTTATACTTAGAGAGAGAAGATGAGATTTCAAAAAGATTCCAAAACCAATGGGAGGGATTTAGATGTTGCGCATACTCAGGAATACTGAGGACTTGGGTGAAAGCCTAACATCCTGCGTGCCGGGCATCAACGACTTGGAGGTTTCTCTTCATCCCAGAACACCTCTAGAAGACTCAGGTCTAGTTTGGTTTCTGTTGAAGATGTCCAGTAGCAGACAGGGCAGCAAAGTGACGGCCTTCCCACTGTACATCTGATAAGCCTGAGGGGTCCTCAGTGTTCCCGGCTCACAGCGGCCATCCAGATGCGCTGAGGGGTCAGCATCTGATGCAAAATGATGAGTGTCTTATGTTCCGATGTCAGTTTGCCATCAATCATTCTGTTCTTCTGGCACCAATACCCTTTTAAAAACAATAAGAGCAAGAGTTATTGTCCCACAATCAATGCATTATGAAATGTATGCTATGTTGGCATTTCAGAGGTTTGGTGTACTACAAAGCAAATTGGTATAATATGGCTAACCTTTACCCAGCTGCTTGGCTCACTCTGAGGGAAATCATTCATGCCGGGGAGGGTTTAGATAAGACGTCCTTAACTCTTCCATGAAGAGACAAGATGTGTGTTTTAGGCGAGTCGCACGTTTCTCTTGAAAAAGTATGCGTCCATGTCAACTGCATGCAAGCGGCGAGACTGAACCGCTTCTTATAGATTGCAGTGCTAGGAAGTCTTTTAAGGGAACAATGGGGGAAATGAGGGGTTTTTTCATCGTAATGACAAAGAAATGACAACTACTAGTCTGTCTTTTTTTCTCTTGGCAAAGAGACCCTGAAAATCTCCACTTTCCTTGCATATTTCATAGTTTTTGTTAGCTGAAGAGAAAACCAGTGTTGTCACTGTGAAGCTGGCCCTTCGGGTTTCCTTGTTATGTAGGGAGACTTGAGTAGTATTTTGTTTAACTGCATTTACTGACAAAGATAACTTGCCATGCTCAAAAAAAAAAAAAAAAAAATCAGAAGTAAAACTAAAGGAGCAAGTCTTCCTTTGATAAGAATTTCCTATTCTCTTATATCTGTTTATAGCCATTACATCTGCATTTGCAGTTACTTTATCTAACAGAAGAGAATTTTTCTCAGAGGCAAATATTATGCACTGCTTTAAAAGTAAAAGCTCTGTAGTAAAACGCACAATTTAAAATGCACATATAAAAATAGCTGAGGGTGAGCTAACAGGCCAGGAAGCAGGATAATACAGCACTAATTCTAAGAGAAAATAAAAATTACCACTGAAAAGTCCGTATGGGAAACTGACAATAGAGCCTACGTGACTACCGACACAAGTCATCAATGAATTTAATTGGCAACTTTTCTTTTCAGAGATCATTCCTAAAATCTAAATAAACATTAGTACTTGGAATCCAGGTGGTTGGAAAACAAAAGGTATGTCTTCTCAATTATTTGGTTCATAGTCATACTCCGAAAGATTACCTATATTCCAATTATTAAGTATCTTTAAATAGCTTGAAAAGGACAAAACAAGCTGTAACTTTGGCAAATGCCATTATAAAACCTTCAGTTCACATTAAACAGTTTAAATGTGGAAGTTCACTATGTTAAAACAATCTTATAAAAGAAATTCACTATATTTAAATAATGCACCATCTTAAAATGAACTGAGCCAGAGACTCTGAAATGCCAACAGATGGTTGAATTGTGTTTCCATAGCAAAGTAATTTATAATAATTGCTTTATGGATGCAAGTGCAATTTTCATTATATTCAATTCATAAAATGTTATCATACAGCTGCAATTTGTGATATTTTCTATTAGAAGAAGTGTTGAATATTTGAGTCCCTGTGAAGCAATAATTAGCAGCGCGTCTAAACATGTATAAACCACAGATTTGAGTCTTCCTCTTCCCTGTAAGGACTATATTTTGTATTGAACACATTTTCAAATCTTAAGCAAAAAAGAAAAAAAATCTCAGAGGAGCATGTGTTGTGGCTACTATAGCCTTCTGCTTTTTTCAAACTCATTACTCATTAGTAATTTTAAATTGATATTTTCAGCAACATCCAACACTGACAATTTATAAATACAGAAAGGTGTTAAATGATACAATTCTATAGCTTGGAGGTGCAGATTTCAACCGTGTTTTGTTATAAAGGAAGCATGCACCTTGGGGGCGAGGGGCGTGGGCATCTCAGGTGAAGCGGTGTAAAACTTGCTAGGTGGGCAATTGTTAACTTCAATTCCTAGCTTCACATGCACCAACCATTGGAAACAACATAATCGAAGACTTGGGCCTGTTCTGAAAGTGGACTGAGTGCACAGAATGTGCTTCCTGTAATATTATTTTGAAACTATGTCTTCAGGCATATATTGGAATGATCTCTGAGATTAGCTTTCACATTAAAAAAATATATATAATTTTGTAAATCCACTTGATCTTGGTTATGCTCTCCTGAACCACCTTCAACTTACTGCAACTTTACAATAAGGGTGACCATACATTTGAACCTGAAAAATGCAGACCCTTAGGAAACATATGCAAACCTGTTCCCATCTCCTGACACAACAAGCAACTCCAATATAGTGACTTCTCATTAAGGCATACCAGAATTATAATAATGGTCATTACATGGGATTATGGACTACACCGTTGATCGAACTGAGAGAAATGACAAGGAAAACTGCAGAGAAGTGGGAGATATTTGAATATTAGGCAGTTGCAGGACTGTGCGAGAGACATTCTTGACAAGAGGCAGCCAATTATAGCTTAAATTTCTGGCACATAACCAGTTGTGATTAATAGTTTTCCATTGCATTACAGACATATTATTAACGTATTAAAAATGTCAAGCTTTGGCAAGCACTAATACAGCATGGCTCGGTTAGTCTGGAGAATTTACATTTAATGAGCTCTCATTGACACAGAAAGAGAAATTGACCACAGCATATTACAGACCAGGAACAAGGGGTCACTAAGCTATTCTCTCATATAACTTTTTTCATTGTAATTTTTAATTTCCGAACAAACCTATTGTGCATTTTCCATTCAGGGTCTCCACTTTTCAGTGCCGGACATACCACCTTTCAAGGAAAGCCCTTTCCCTTCAAATAGTAATAAATTAAATGCGTGAACTCCCATGACACACAATAGAACAGACGTCTCCGTCTGTGAAAATCAAAAATCTACTACTGAAGCATAATTATGGAGTTTTCAAAGGAAATACAATGGTACACAAATAGAATATTCTTCCTACTGAGGCCTCTGCTACCTAATGACATGGGCCCCCATCTGGCTGTGCATTCAATCAGGTTAAAATATCAATAGATTCTTAAAAGCTAGATCATCAGAACAAATAGCTAGGCAAACCGAGTATGAGAAGGGCAGTCAATGACATATGTTGAGACTTAATATACTAAACACATCCCTCCTGGCCCATAACTGAACTAATTGCCAAGTAATGTGGCTTTTGAATTTGTCTCAAGTGTCCAGACCACGGCAACAAGGACAGCTGCAGAGGAGCTCCGGGCAGCCTTGTCTCTAGTTCTGTATTTTGCCAAACTTAGGGACTCACTGCAAGCCAATAATGCCATCAGCCCTACCTCTGAACTGAAGTCCTTTGTGATTTAAGAAAAAAAAAAAAACAACCAGTATGATCCCACAAATACTCTGTAGGCCTCCGGTCTATAAATTTTGAGAGCCAATAAAAAATATAAAATTATGTCACAGCCTGCAAGTTGACAGATATTGTTCATTGGGGCTAAAAATGGGCTATAAAATGATTTTGCATCGATGGAACATATATTTTTCCAGGACTCTGAAGCTAGTTCCCCTGCACCTTGGATTATCTTTGTAGAAGACATTTCACTGGCCCTTTCTGTCACCAGAAAGAAGCAAAAAATCCTCCCAAAATATTATAGGGAAAAGATAATGATTAAAATTATAAACCATCAAGGTCTAAGAACAATTGCCAATTTTATCAAGCAAGAGGGAAACACTGCCAGTAAATCCACTAACATTAGCTGGCTTTCAGCACTCATTTCATTATATAATAGGAGGTGGGTGTGGTGGTAGTAGGCTATTTATTCCATAAATATTCAGCTCTTCGGGGGCACCTGAAATAGGCGGCTATTGACTCACTCTTTATAGACATTAAGAATTTTATAAATATGCATGTTTCTGAATGAAAAGAAACAAAAGGAAAATTGACTATAATCACTGAGAGAAAAATATGAAGAGAAAAGGATATACAAATTCTGTAAGCTCTCAAAATGAGCAGCTTCCAGCACACCTAAGGTAATATTTATTACATGAACTATTTTGACATTGACAGCTCTTTGCACACATTTATTTGTGGTGAAACGGAAGCATCTTTTACTCTTCTTAACAGGAGACACAGGCTGCTATTGTTTTGGTCAACTGTCTCCCAAAAAATAAGGAATTTAGCACATACTGCAACATCGTCAGCATAGCTCACTCAGCCTTGACTGGGTCATACGAGTAACTGCCTGTTGGGAGATTCGTAATAAAACAGTCAACACAGGCAGTATCTGAGAACAGGTAGGATTCAAAAGATCTCTATTTTTGCCAAGAGAAAACCAAAGAGCAGAATCAGATAGCATAAGTTTTGCAGGATGTTGGGGATTGGCTAATACATAAAATTATTTCAAAATCATTTAAGTAGAAAAGAAATCTAGTGTTTAACTAACCAAGGAACAACAAAAGCTTCACTCTCACACAGGGACAGGGGAGATCTAAGGTCTCAAAAGCACACAGGAGAAAAATCTACACCCACCTAAAGTTTTGGAACAAAACTCTGGGCTCCAGAAATGAAATTAGTTTTGAAAGTGTGCTAAAAATCCCTCCCTTATGTACAACACAATGTCCGTCTCACTCATTCTCCCCCCCCACGCACGCGCACACACTCATTTTTCCACATTAACATACAGAGTTGGTTTCCTAAGTTGAGTGAAGATTTATTCCTTTGCACGCCACTTGGCGCTTTTGTAACTTAAAAACTGTTTGCAAATCTGTACTGTGAAAGCCTATCAACTAAATGTCATAGCTTAACTTTAAACATATTACCTGATGTTGTCCAGAATACTACTTTACTGGAATCAATAACAAGTTATTGGCACTAATTGCAAACATACAAAAGGAACTGAAAACTGCATTAGCCTCTTCCTAAAAAAAAAAAACTAATCTAATTCATTTTAATCCACATGCACACCCAGCGAAAGAACACAAACAAAATCTTAATAAGAAGAGCTTTTGTCCAAATAAAATAAACAACTTCACTATATTATTTTTATGATTACCATTCTTAAATCTCACAGTAAGAAATATTATCAAGTTAATAGGCAGATAAATGAAATTCCAGATGCCGTTATG